GATTTACTAATAAAAGCCCTACTAATTGACCCATAGTTTGTGGGGAAGTAGTAGATTCATAGATTTACCTATTTCATTTGTGCGTAATTAAATGTAACGCACATGACTGGAATTTGAACTGGGCTCTCCGATTCCAGTTGCGAGCTGTTGCCCATTACACCAGCCGCACATCCAATTTTAAAATAATTGGTATTCCCATGATGTTAGCCATCTAGGTACTGATCGGGTTCGACGTTGCTTAACTTCGGTGATCGTACGTGAGGAGCAAGGAGCAACGTCAAAAACAATCAATAAATTCACCCAGATCCGGATTGTATAGGAATGGCATCCTCTCAGTAGATTGATATTGCCTGTCTTAGTCGAAATCAAATTGGTTGCAAACCGGCGGAAAATAACGTCATGCTGAGATTATTGTACGTGAATGGGCCAAGTCATTTTTTAACACGAATCAGACATTCGCAACTTTTTTATTTTATTTTTCAGCACGTTTCTCTTTCTACCTCTCTGTCGCATTCCCCGCTCTGATCTTTGTCATCCGTTTCTCTGTCTTCAGCAGATTTATCCGATGTAGCAATGATTTGGGACTTAATCTGAGACAACGACGATAAGCACTGTCCATGAAGAGAGTCTTCAAATGCAACAATGACAATTTCAAAAATCTGCAATTTCAATGCCGATCTACGAAATAATAAGATTTTCCCGATTACAGAAGCTTATCTTAGCAATATCCAGTGACTGTCGACATTGTCGAATGTCGTTAATACTAGTTGAGTTCTTGCATGTGTAGCCATATACATTTCGTCACTCAGTTCTGTCAAGGTTGATAGTAATAGTTTTTCTTCACTCTGAATATTTTGTTGCCAAATAATATATTTATAGCAGAGTGATATCCTCGCTTACTCAGCTTCTGTCTTCTGCGTTAGCTATTGTTTGTTAGTTTGTTTAATGGCATATCAAAACGTTATGAGTCATTTAATGCCGAAATTTTATTTTCTTGGGAATTTGAAGTAATAAAAATATATGTTATTCTGCCTTCACAGTAGGATACAGGATACATGATAGTCAGACTTTGTGTATACACATGTCTGCGTGATAGGTGTTTTTTTTGTTTGTTTGGTTTTTTTTAGTTTTGTTGAAGTTATATTTTGGAATATATTAGGTTGGTGCAAAAATAATGACGTAATAATGTCGTTTTTAACGTATTTTTAACGTCAAAAACGACATTAATACGTCATTATTTTTGCACTAACCTAATAGTTTGATGTAACAAATTTAGGATATTATAAAAACTAATATCATGAAAGAATTATTTCATGTTAACTGAGGTATTGTTAATAATATATATTTTTGGTATTTTTTTATATAAAAATTATTTCTCGTATTTTTACTATAAAATCTATTTTTACACTTTCATAGTGTTTTGTATTTGTTTGGAGGTTCAGTATTTGCCATAGCTTGGGTCCTAAAAGGTGCTATCACTCTGGGTCAGGTTGGACCTCGTTCTATTATTAAAATGTACTGTTTTGTTATTTGGAGGTTAACTATTTGTCCATAGCTGGGACCCTAACTTCGAGTCATGGTGGACCTGGGAACAACAGCAATTAAGAGGTGGTTCCACACTCTTCAAACCTCTAATCTTCCAATTGTCTTGCTACCGGATGTAGTCTGTGGTAATATCCAGGACTAAGTTAGCTACTGTGAAAGGCCAGCGATAAGAGATTTTTGTCTAGATATCGGGTACTGTTACAGCCTAGAAATATCATATTCATAGCCTTCCAAAAAATTAAGAATAAGAAGTAAACAGAGTCAGTATCGACTGGTATTCGAACACTAATGATTCCCTTTATAGTTCTCTTAAAACAGTGTTTCACAACTTCTTGTTATTTTTTTACTTCAGGGTGCACATTTATAACGAATAAAACTCTGGGGTACACTTTAAATTTTAATAAGGGTAAGTTGGCCATGAAATTTGAAATTATTAAATTTTGGTTTAACGTTCCCAAAGATTAGCGGTACAGTTTTCACTTAAAGGGATTTTTTAAAGAATTTAGTAATATTTTTTTCCGAGATGATTGATTTAAATCTCTTGAGGATGTCAAAAGAGAAAGGATTATCAGGAATAAGGATTTAAAAATATCAAATGACAAACACTTGTTTAAATATGGAAGCAATGTGCTTGGTGACTTTAGGTTTTTAAATATATTTCTTTTTAAATATAAAATTAATTGATAAATTATTATACTGTTGATTTGGGGTTCACCTACCTTTCAGGTCACAGTAGTCATCCTGGGCCCATCTGTTGAGAAACACAGTGCTAACCCCTAAATATGCTCCATGAGATATATATATATATATATATATATATATATATATATATATATGTGTGTGTGTGTGTGTGTGTGTATTATGTGCGTGGTAACTTAGTCGAAAGTGTTCATCTCCGTGACTGGATAGTCTAATGATCACAAAAGTGTGAAAGTCTCGTTTAGATATGCAACTG